AATCCTAGATACAGGCTTATGTGGTCCTATCTCACTCACACATATACACGATGTACCAACTGTCTTGTGATGTACCAAATTCCTCACAGACTCCCCCGTTAGCTCGTTACTAGTCAGTCTAGACGTGTGCCAATTGCCTGTCCAATCGGAGCGGCGTGAGCGAGGGCCAGCGTTGGAACAATGTTGGCTGGCGGATCAAAGTCGTGCTGGGGAATTGCCACCAAAGCTAATTGGTATCGTCAGTGTCGAGGTCCCAGCTGGGATCAAACGGGGCAGACGAGGAGAGGCCCGATAACCAAGATAGAGGAGCTAAGTACAGGGCTGGCGCGTGAAACATAATGATATGGTCTTTAGAGATTCAATTTCTCTATATTGGCTTGAATAACTGCCATGAAAAAGTGGTATGGACTCATCTATTGCTGATAATTTCCGATTCATATCTGGTGGGATATTACTGCCACGGCTGATTACTGCCGAATGGGATGACTGACAAGAACACACAGAGAACAGGATTTATGTAACTCTCACTCAGACAGACAGAAAACGCTCTGCGGGGAAAAAAAAAACACCCTGACGGGGAAAAACTTGGAAGAGCCGCCTGCAGGTTTGAGATACAACCACGAAATCACAGTCCACCCTTTACTGCACGTCCCACAGTAATGTTCTCTCTTCACAGACTTCCTCTGCACTGTCCATAACTTTACAAACCAGGTCTGACTGTATTTTTTTAAAGAGACACTAAATACTTTAAATGCTGGGTCAGCATACTTTTAAAACTGACATTTAAAATAGAAGTACAGAGAGTTATGTGTCTGCAGCAGAAAGGGTTTGCAGAGACGGATGATAAAGTCTGCCGGGCAGAGGACGGGTCACACCAACACAGGAGATTTTACTGAGTGCACTTTAGTTTGCATCCTGTGGGGGTACCAGACACCCTGATAGGGGCTGTTTGTTACCTGGATGGTACCAAAGCCTGGTCAGCATACCCGGTAATAAGTCGGACTCCACTTTGTCATCAGTCCTGTTCATAACTTTCAGGGACAGAATCTTGAGGTGCAGCCAGAGTCTTAAGGGGGTCCAGTTTAGTGGTTTTAGGATTGGGTCACTGCTTTTTACAGATGACATGGTTGGATGGATCAAGTCGTCACCTTCAGCTCTTACTGGATTGTTTTGCAACCGAGTATAAAGCAGCTGGGATGAGAATCAGCATCTCCAAATCTGAGTCTATGGTTATGAGTCTGTCTGGGATGAGATCCTGCTCCAGGTGGAAGAGCTGAAGTATCTCAGGGTCTTGTTCAGAAGTACGGAGCAGGAGGTGGACAGACAGATTGTTGCTCCATTAGCAGTGATGCTTTTACAGCTCAGGATAAATGGCAGAAAATGGATGATGGATGATTTAACTTCTAGAAACTGAAGAATTCAACGTTCTCTGATGTAAGAAACTCTGGATGGTGCGTGACGCTGACTGCAGCTGTTTGTAAGCTGCTGGTATCATCTGAAGCAGTAAAGTCTTGAAGTTTCGCTGGTACCAAATTCCACTTAGATTTATGACTCCATGTGCATGAGCGAATACATGACCGACTGTAACCAAGTGAACTGCATGTCCAAGTTACGATCAAAATCACCAACTAATCGGAAACAGGAGATCAATTTAGCTAGTTAGTTTTGAGCATCTTCATGTCTGGATCAGATTCACTCAGATTAAGGTTTTGCTGAAATTGTCCACCGATGTCGACTCGTGCTTTCACAAAAGATTGAGCAGCAGAGGCTAAAAAAGTAAACAAGCCCAAGTTCTGTAATAAGATAGGGTACGAGGCTTCGTTTACAATTTGTGGATTTGCCGACAAGCAGAGGTCACGGGTCTATGAAGACAGCGATCAAAAAGATTAGAGACGTTGTGTGCTGAGATAGATAAAACCCACAAAGAAGACCTGGTTCTTCAGAAAACAGTTTCAGTCCCTGTTGCTGACGCCTCTCCTCAGCAATAATGCATCCACCTGACAGGTGTGGTAGAAACTCTGCAAACAGCATAATGATCAGACAGATGTGCTGTGACTAAAGGCCACTCTGTGATGTGGAGCTCCATCACACAACCTGCCACAGTCCTGCAGGTGTTCGGTGTCAGAGCTGGGTGGGAAGTGGATTCATGTGGTTCAGGGTCGGGAGACAAACTGGATGTTAGCGACGACGTTCAACACGCAGGGAGGAGCTGAAAACACCTGAACGATTGTTCTGTAGCATCCTGAGTCTCATGATACTGAAAGGATGCAAATGTCAGATATTTAAGACCTTTAAAACATTAATGTGACTCTGATTTGTAACCTCACAGATAGCCCTGACCCTGCGGTGGCTTTAACACGGTCCCTGTGTTCCCAGGAAACAGATGTGAGACCCGCTGTTAAAGCTGCGTGATAACCGACACGGTTTCAAAGTGAAACAGTTAAACCCTGTAAATAAATCCAGCTTTCTCACAGACTCTTATCTCAGTTCAAGACCTTTTTTATCATTTGCAGATCTTAAAAGGCCTCCGCAGGCTTTTTATCTCGACCCGGTTTGACTCCTGCACTGTAGCCAGAGCTGCCTCCTCTTTATGTAGCTGGTATAATGCTGCAGCTGCATCTGTAACAGGAATGTGTTAACAGGAGCAGAGTAATGACTGTTGTTTTGGTAGAAACCCCAAAACAATGGTGGAAATAAAGGAGGCACCAGATCTGCAGAGAAGAGTCTGGTGCATGAAGAGAGTTCAGGATTTGGTCTCTAACACTAACTGTCTCCACAAACAAAGCACGAGTAAAATCATTTGCGCAAACTAATTACACGTTAAGTCAATGCAAAGACGCGAGTAGACGTTTCTAGATCTATTTTTTCCAGACATCGGAGCATGGCGGATAAATTAAGCACAGATTAACCTGTGCTGGAAAGGAAGTCGGGCACAGACACAAAATAAAACATCCGGCTTCTTTTCAAAATAAAACACTCCGTGTTTCAGGAGGATCGTATTTCACAACATGAAAACGTGGACGGGGACAAACAAGTGAAAGGTTTTTAGACGTCATTTCACCCCGATGACACCATGGATGAGGAGATGCTGATTCTAGAAGTCTAGAAGTAGATTTCCTCCTCTGGAAGGACACAGTCCCTTGCTTTTATGGTTAGCCTCTGTGGCTAAAGACAACTTGTTATCGCACAATTGCACGTGAATCCATGGGTTCTTGTGAGCTCTGGCGATTCCTGCTTTCCTTCGTTTGCCATGAAATTCGCCTCACAAACAGATCCAGTAGGAATTGGCGGAAGGCGAAAATCGCCGCCATTCCGGATGCGGTTGAAATCCCGGGTCATGCGTCACCTTGGGGTCTCGTCTGTTTCCCAAACCTACCATCTAAACCCACATTATCCTTCACATGTTTTATCAGGGTCCCTCAGGTCTGCAGACTGTCTAAGATCTGTAAGTCTAGTTTTGAGCTCTGTATGTATAACGGCTCCTTTAAACTCCTATTTTATCTCCTCCATGATGTTTTTTTGTCTTTGAATGAGTGTTTGTGTTTAATTGCTGTGTTTTATAGTGAAGCATATTTTTGATTAAAGAGTAATTTGTCTCCTGTGCTGTAAATGATTCTTTGAATTAGGCTGGATAAATGACTCTCCAGTGAATTTGATTCATCAGCTGCTGTTTCTCTGCTGCGAAACAATTACCTCTTATAAAACAAAATAAAGAAACACTTTGTGATTTCTGCTTCATTTCTTCTCGAGAGTATCACCTGACTCAGAAACCCACCTCGCTATAATTGTGAACTTTTACACAAAGCTCGTCAAACTGCAAAAATCCCTCCTCGAACCGTTTTTTGGCTGGTTGTCAGCGTGTGCACACATGGAGCAGCCTCTCTATAAATCACTCATCCCGCTGAAAACGTGGACTCTGACTTTCCTTTTGTGTGAACGCTCTCCAGAGGATATGACATCACCTGCTCTCTTTGTTTCGCCGCGCCGCGTTGCAAATATCCCACAAGTCCAAGTGAGAATTTATAAGTTTACATAAAAATCTCACATTTTCTCTAACGGGTCGTCTTTCTCTCTCTCCTCCCCCCCGCTGTCACAGAGCAATATATAATCTTCACCTAAACATTTGAAGTCGTACTTCAGAGGGAAGGAGCGGCGCCAGAGCGGCCTGTTTTGTTTTATTAGAGTGTCAAAACTTGTATTGATTCGGGTCGTGATTGAAAGCACTCACACAGCCTCAGAAAGAAAAGACAAATCAAGGCAGCCGAAGAGAGGAGAGTGGATTTTTCTTTTTTTTTTGCTTGTGTGTAAAGTATAAAACATTCCTGAGTGAAAATCCAAAAATATGCACATCAGAGAAAGATAAAAATTCAGCAAGAAACAAATTGCCGTGAAAAATTGCTCCCAAGTCGAACCCATACGTCTTTATTTATAGCCCACAGAGTGACATATTCACAATGCTGCCACCACCATGAAATTTTCCCTCCATATTTTGCCAAGAAAGGATGAGTTGTAGAGACGAGAGGGAGGCGGGGAGCAGGAAGAGCGCGGCCGGGGAGGGAGGGAGCGAGATGATTGATTGCACAGAGAGTGCAGAGAGCGCAGACATTCCTCCTCTTCAGAGAGGCTGTTTTTTTGTCTAATTAGGGCCCGAGCGTAGCTGCTAAGCAGCTGCGAGAGCCCTCTTGTTCCTGATGGATTCTTCTTTTGTTATTATTATTATTAGGGCCCGAGCGTAGCTGCTAAGCAGCTGCGAGAGCCCTCTTGTTCCTGCATGTTTCCTTCTTTAGGGCCCGAGCGTAGCTGCTAAGCAGCTGCGAGAGCCCTCTTGTTCCTGATGGATTCTTCTTTTGTTATTATTATTATTATTTTTCCTCCGCTTTAAACTGGAAAATGGCCCACTTCCCACTGGCGAAAACTCAGGAAATTTGGCAGGACGACCGGGCCTGGTGAAAAATTCGATATTCTGAAGTCGCCCAAACAATAAAATACAAAATGGCTCCATAGCGCCCCCTAAGGTGAAAATTCACACTATTGACTGTCACGCCTGTACGCTTTGTCATATTGACACAAAAATTGACACACACATGTATCTCAATAAGATCTACAAAAAAGTCAGTGCGGGCGTATCTGTCAAATGTACGGTTAAAGGGTTATTGCGCATTTTTTGCAGATCTGCACACATTGGAATTTCGCTAACTCCTCCGAAGGCTTTCGGTCCACCGGCACCACATTTGCTCAGGCCAATCTACACTCCATGGCCATTCAAAGTTGTACAAATCATGATGCTGCACCCCATGGTTTAGGTTCTAGGGGGCGCCAAAAATAACCCTAAAATCCACATTCTTAAAAGTTTTATAACTTTTTATTTTTGCCCTCACTGGCCTCCAAGTTTTCTAGGATGATGCAATGTCCAGCCATCAACACATTTGTGAAGGAATTCTTACTCCCCAAAAGAGCGCCCCCCCATGGCAGGACAAAAAAGTCAATTTTTTCTTGTCCCCTAAGGTGAAAATACACATTGTTGAATGTCACGCCTGTACGCTTTGTCATATTGACACAAAATTTGACAATCACGTGTATCTCAATAAGATCTACGAAAAAGTCAATGCGCGCGTATCTGTAAAATGTACGGTTAAAGGGCTATTTCGCATTTTTTGCCGATTCGCACACATTGGAATGTGGCTAACTCCTCCTAAGGCTTTCGTCCCACTGACACCAAATTTGCTCAGGCCAATCTACACCCCATGGCCATTCAAAGTTGTAAAAATCATGACGCTGCACCCCATGGTCTACGTTCTAGGGGGCGCCAAAGAGGACCCAAATATCCACATTTTTAAAGTCTTATAACTTTTTATTTTTGTCCTCACTGGCCTCCAAGTTTTCTAGGATGATGCAATGTCCAGCCATCAACACATTTGTGAAGGAATTTTTTCTCCCCAAAAGAGCGCCCCCCATGGCAGGAGAAAAAGTCAAGTTTTTCCTGCCCATCGCTCAATGGCTCAAACGCATCGCTCTCTCGGCAAAACCGAAAGGAGGAGCAACTTGCCATTTGGATATATACTAGCTGTTTGTGCCCTCACTCATGGTCCAGACTTTTTTCAAATAGGACATGTAGTTTGTCTGCAGCGACCGTTTTGGTAGAAACTGCGCCTCCCATTCATTATAATGGGAAATGACCACAGACAAGTGCGCACACCATCTTTGGACCTTGAGTGTGATGCAATCGGGAGGGGGAGGCGGTCGCGCTGGGGGCGGCGCGACGCGGCTCGGGCCCGACAGTGCCCCACCGGGGCCCTAGTTCGTTATTATTTTTCCTCCGCTTTAAACTGGAAAATGGCCCACTTCCCACTGGCGAAAACTCAGGAAATTTGGCAGGACGACCGGGCCTGGTGAAAAATTCGATATTCTGAAGTCGCCCAAACAATAAAATGCAAAATGGCTCCATAGCGCCCCCTAAGGTGAAAATTCACATGACGGCTGTACGCTTTGTCATATTGACACAAAAATTGACACACACATGTATCTCAATAAGATCTACAAAAAAGTCAGTGCGGGCGTATCTGTCAAATGTACGGTTAATGGGTTATTTTGCATTTTTTGCAGATCTGCACACATTGGAATTTCGTTAACTCCTCCGAAGGCTTTTGTTCGACCGGCACCACATTTGCGCAGGCCAATCTACCTCCCATGGCCATTAAAAGTTGTACAAATCATGACGCTGCACCCCACGATTTAGGTTCTAGGGGGCGCCAAAGATAACACTAAAATCCACATTCTTAAAAGTCTTATAACTTTTTACTTTTGTCCTCACTGGCCTCCAAGTTTTCTAGGATGATGCAATGTCCAGCCATCAACACATCTGTGAAGGAATTTTTACTCGCCAAAAGAGCGCCCCCCCATGGCAGGAGAAAAAAGTCCATTTTTTCTTGTCCCCTAAGGTGAAAATACACACTATTGACTGTCACGCCTGTACGCTTTGGCAAAATGACACAAAAATTGACACACACATGTATCTCAATAAGATCTACAAAAAGTCCATGCGCGCGTATCTGTCAAATGTACAGTTAAAGGGTTATTCCGCATTTTTTGCCGATACGCACACATTGGAATTTCGCTAACTCCTCCGAAGGCTTTCGTTCCACCGGCACCACATTTGCTCAGGCCAATCTACACCCCATGGCCATTAAAAGTTATTCAAATCATGATGCTGCACCCCATGGTTTAGGTTCTAGGGGGCGCCAAAAATAACCCAAAAATCCACATTCTTAAATGTTTTATAACTTTTTTTGTCCTCACTGGCCTCCAAGTTTTCTAGGATGATGCAATGTCCAGCCATCAACACATTTGTGAAGGAATTTTTACTCCCCAAAAGAGCGCCCCCCCATGGTAGGAGAAAAAAGTCAATTTTTTCTTGTCCCCTTACATGAAAATACACATTGTTGAGTGTCACGCCTGAACGCTTTGTCATATTGACACAAAAATTGACAATCATGTGTATCTCAATTAGATCTACGAAAAAGTCAAAAAGCGCGTATCTGTATAATGTACGGTTAAAGGGCTATTTTGCATTTTTTGCCGATTCGCACACATTGGAATGTGGCTATCTCCTCCTAAGGCTTTCGTCCCACCGATACCAAATTTGCTCAGGGCAATCTACACCCCATGCCCATTCAAAGTTGTAAAAATCATGACGCTGCACCCCACGGTTTACGTTCTAGGGGGCGCCAAAGATGACCCAAAAATCCACATTCTTAAAAGTCATTTTGGCCACTGCAGGAGTACAGAGTACTGCAGTTCTAGGGGGCGCCAAAGATGACCCAAAAATCCACATTCTTAAAAGTCTTTTTGGCCACTGCAGGAGTACAGAGTACTGCAGGATACACACACATATACACACACGCCAACATACACACACACACACACACACACACACACACACACACACACACAGACACACACACACACTCAGAGTCTGTTTTTCAGCACCTGCAAAAACATGCTATTTACATATTTGACTAGAATGCAGAGGCCCCTTTTTGCCCCTGAAAAAAATCAAATTTCAAACACAACTTGACTGCTCATTTCTCCAAAAGACAACCATGAAGCTCCATCCAAACCTGAAGCAGGCAGTTGGTGCATGTGTACAGTCACCTGAGGAAAGTGAGGTGACTACTTCTGAGGAGAACATGAGCAGTGAAGATTCACCTTGGAGCTAGAACAGGGACGTGCACATGATTATACAGGGGCAGGGGCTCAAGTTTTTTCCAGTCATTTATACAATATTGAAATTAATGTGAAATTAAAAAACAAGTATTAATAGAAAGGTTATGACTGTCCTGTGTAGATGACAGTGATATCCAATAGGCTAGGCACTCACGAGGCTGGCTGTGGCAAGTGTAAGTGAAAGCAACACGCACTGGCAGGAAGAACAGCAAACGCCGATGAAGGAAAGGGTCTTTGCAGTGATGGGCGTTACCAGAGAGGGCGATGGCCAGAGGACGCGAATGGGACGGGGAGGCAGCGCGTTGGGGGGGGCAGCGCGACACGGCTCGGGCCCGCCAGTGCCCCAACGGGGCCCTAGTTATTATTATTTTTCCTCCGCTTTAAACTGGAAAATGGCCCACTTCCCACTGGCGAAAACTCATGAAATTTGGCAGGACGACCGGGCCTGGTGAAAAATTCGATATTTTGAAGTCGCCCAAACAATAAAATGCAAAATGGCTCCATAGCGCCCCCTAAGGTGGAAATTCACACTATTGACTGTCACGTCTGTACGTTTTGTCATATTGACACAAAAATTGACACACATATGTATCTCAATAAGATCTACAAAAAAGTCAGTGCGGGCGTATCTGTCAAATGTACGGTTAAAGGGTTATTTCGCATTTTTTGCCGATCCGCACACATTGGAATTTCGCTAACTCCTCCGAAGGCTTTCGTTCCACCGGCACCACATTTGCTCAGGCCAGTCTACACCCCATGGCCATTAAAAGTTGTACAAATCATGACGCTGCACCCCACGGTTTAGGTTCTAGGGGGCGCCAAAGATAACCCAAAAATCCACATTCTTAAAAGTCTTATAACTTTTTATTTTTGTCCTCACTGCCCTCCAAGTTTTCTAGGATGATGCAATGTCCAGCCATCAACACATTTGTGAAGGAATTTTTACTCCCCAAAAGAGCGCCCCCCCATGGCAGGAGAAAAAAGTCAATTTTTTCTTGTCCCCTTACATGAAAATACACATTGTTGAGTGTCACGCCTGAACGCTTTGTCATATTGACACAAAAATTGACAATCATGTGTATCTCACTTAGATCTACGAAAAAGTCAAAGAGCGCGTATCTGTATAATGTACGGTTAAAGGGCTATTTCGCATTTTTTGCCGATTCGCACACATTGGAATGTGGCTATCTCCTCCTAAGGCTTTCGTCCCACTGATACCAAATTTGCTCAGGGCAATCTACACCCCATGCCCATTCAAAGTTGTAAAAATCATGACGCTGCACCCCACGGTTTACGTTCTAGGGGGCGCCAAAGATGACCCAAAAATCCACATTCTTAAAAGTCATTTTGGCCACTGCAGGAGTACAGAGTACTGCAGTTCTAGGGGGCGCCAAAGATGACCCAAAAATCCACATTCTTAAAAGTCTTTTTGGCCACTGCAGGAGTACAGAGTACTGCAGGATACACACACATATACACACACTCCAACACACACACACACACACACACACACACACACACACACACACACACACACACACACACACACTCAGAGTCTGGTTTTTAGCACCTGCAAAAACATGCTGTTTACATATTTGACAAGAATGCAGAGGCTTCCTTTTGCCCCTGAAAAAAATCTAATTTCAAACACAACTTGACTGTTCATTTCTCCAAAAGACAACCATGAAGCTCCATCCAAACCTGAAGCAGATAGTTGGTGCATGTGTACAGTAACCTGAGGGGAGTGAGGTGACTATTTCTGAGGAGAACATGAGCAGTGAAGATTCACCTTGGAGCTAGAACAGGGACGTGCACATGATTATACAGGGGCAGGGGCTCAAGTTTTTTCCAGTCATTTATACAATATGGAAATTAATGTGAAATTAAAAAACAAAGTATTAATAGAAAGGTTATGACTGTCCTGTGTAGATGACAGTGATATCCAATAGGCTAGGCACTCACGAGGCTGGCTGTGGCAAGTGTAAGTGAAAGCAACACGCACTGGCAGGAAGAACAGCAAACGCCGATGAAGGAAAGGGTCTTTGCAGTGATGGGCGTTACCAGAGAGGACGATGGCCAGAGGACGCGAATGGGACGGGGAGGCAGCGCGTTGGGGGGGGCAGCGCGACACGGCTCGGGCCCGCCAGTGCCCCAACGGGGCCCTAGTTTTAATAATGTTTCCTGTCCTCTCCCAGCGCTCATCGGCAGGTGTCTGACTGGATCTCGGGCTCACCACATGAAAAACACCAAACACCGAACACCTCCACGAGTTTCCATCACCGCTCCCTCTGCTTTAGAAGCTCGGGAGCTCTGGTCCCGCCACGGGGCATGCTGCAGGTATAGAGCAGGAGAGGCTAAACTGCAGGTATGGAGCCGTGAACACGGGTCTGAGCAGAGCAGCGCCGTGCTTTCAAGTGTCAGTCTGCACGATCTATAGAATAAAATATAAATGGACGTGGTCGAAACCCAGAGAAATAAGAAAGAGTCACTGCGGAGAAGCAGCGAGTTTAGTCAGCCTGCAGCTCAGCCTCCACTCTCTCTCCTCTACGTGTCTATCCTCTTTCCTGCTCTGTCAAAATTAACATAGAAAGACCAGAATTACATTGAAGATCCCAAAAATGAACTAATTTAGTCTCTTTTCTCTCTGATACTTTGCTGTAAGCTGTTATTTATCAAGATTTTTTATGGAGCCCATATAGAACCACAGACAGCAATCATTTTAGCCGTTTTAACACCGAAACTACGTCAGATTAATCTTCATATCCATTTTTGAATCCTAATCCAATCAGGTTTACAAAAGAGAAGACAGACCTCAGAATACTGACGTTTCCCTGATGTTTCAGTCCTCACAAGTAGAAACGTTCACCTCTAGTGTATATTTTCATCAACATGAGGAAAACCTAAATAATTAAATAATACTTGTACTGCTCGCCATGTAGTTTACCCACATACATTTTCAAGAGAAGTTTTTGCCGATGAATCTTATGATGATATTACACAAATGTCTGCTTTTTAGGGGATATAAAATATTGATATCACACTGATAAAATGCATGTATGCCAAAAGACGCTGAAGAAGCAGGATCAGCTGTTAGCTACTTTGCCCTCTGAACGCTGGTCAGACACTCATGATCCAAGATTTATCACGAATCCTGAAAGATCGTACGAACTTTTGCCTTTTCAAGGATGACATGATGTTTGATAATTTTTCTTTCTGACTGTTTTCATTCAGCTCTATAAGTTCAAAGCCATCTGGAGTAGCACGTACGTCCAGATTTCAAAATAAAAGCACCACAAGCAGCCGTTTGATCAGGCCGTTTAGATATTTAGAAACAGATGGATTATCTGTTGAGATGTATTATTTAAATCTGTTACTGTCTTTACACTAAGCTCATCAAAAACTCAAAAAAATAAAAATAAAATCGTGTGACTGAATGAAGGAAGGTCTTCCCCTCTCCTGAACAGATTCCTACTCGCTGACCTCGTGACACACAATAATTAAAGCAAATTAAAGCGTGTGAGTGGCACTTTAATTGCCCCTCGCACATTTGTTACACTCCTTTAGCCTCTTGAATGGAAAATATTGCTCTTGTCTACCATCTCTACTGCAACTAATGCTTTTTTAATTAAAGTTTTTCTTCTTCCCCCTCTCTGCTTTGTCCTTGAAGGTAACACGTCGGGGCATGTTTCCTCCTGTAGGTGCGAAATGAAGCTGCCAAGACGGGAACAAATAACTTTGTGGGGACGGTGACTCAGCGCGCAGACATTTCTGCTATCCAGGAGACTGCAATCACAAACAAGTAGCAAACCGCAAAATATGCTGATGGGTTATGTTGTTGGGTGTTTATATTGACACCCAAAACTCATTTGTTGCCACAGTGGGAGGTGAGTCACTGCGGAGTCAGGGAGGAAAGAGCGAATCCACGAAATCAGGCGGTGAAAGGTTCCAAATGAAATCAGGCTGCAGCGACGCAGGGATGTGTTTCTTTAAGCTCATAGCTGCTTGGTCACAGCTATCACTTCTCTGTGTGAACACATGATGGGTTTATCTCAGTGGATATAACGTCTCATGAAACAGATGTCACACAGTAAGCTCGCTGTAAATCTCAGATTCTCCTGACATCGGGGTCCGTTGTGATTTTACAGTCTTCTGCAGATGATTCATTTCACATGTGTGCCGGCGGCAGAAAACCCAAAAAAGAGACAGACAGAGAGAGAGAGAGAGAGAGAAAGAGAGAGGGAGAGAGAGAGAGAGAGAGAGGACGTGTCTGATGTTTGAGCTCGGGTACAGTTTGATATTGCTGAAGTTGAGAGTTTGCTGAGTTACAAAGTGAAAGTTAGGGCAGTCTGCTGCTCGTACACAAGGTGCCTTTCAGTGCAACTGCTGCAGGGACAATAGAGGCCGAGGAAAAGAGCAATTATTAAAAAACAGCCAAAGCAGTCGTGTTAGTTTGAGTAATGTCATATTAATAATGCATTAACGCTCATGGTCTCAGGCAGCGGCATTAACAGCCGATATTCATAAAATCCATCCCTCTGTTCAAACTGATGAAGGATCAGTTACATAAGCACGCAGGACAAACTTCACTCTGAGATGAATTGGTCCCGGGAGAGCCGGGGAATAATAGCTCAGGTTATATTAAGTAGTTCAACCTTTATTTGTGCAGGGAAGGCTTTGCTGAGCATGCATGCTCTTTTTCGACTGTAGCACAGCTTCACATTTAAACAGAGAGACTCTCACCTGGGAGCTGCGGCTACGGCTCAGGTAACCTTGACCAATAGGAGGTTTTGAAAGTTGTTACAGATACAGCTCTGCTGGAGTAAATACTCTGGTAAAGTGCTGATTCTCACAGAAATGTGCTGGACTTCTGAATTCAAGCTGATAAATGGTGACACTTAATTCAACTCCTTAATTTCTGAAGCATGCAGTGCAGATGTCAAGCATCAAACCTGTGTAGCAGAAGGGTAAAAACCTGCAGTATCTGCAGTAGGTAACCCTGATAGAGCCTGTATTAAAATGCCTGTTACAGCTAATCTGACTCACAGGTAGATGTGCTGGTGCATTTTCTCCATGCAGCCCAAACTCTCTTTCAAGGTGTCCACTTTAATCAAAAGTTATAGTTTTAGTCCGCATGTCCAAATATTCAATAACCATAACTCAAAAGTATTTCCTTTAGTGACAGTTCTTTGACTTTAAGTGGTTCAAAATGACAGAAATTAGACAGAATCTGCAGATTTCCAGCAGCAACATTGGTTTGCATCGGATCAGACTGTTAAAAAGGATAGCAGTAGACTTAACTCTTGAATCTGCTGCCTCCCTCAGCTTAGGCCATGTTCACTCTAAACAGCTGCATAAATGTTGTGGTGGACAGCCAATCAAGAAGAGACTTTGACAATTAATAATAATAAAGTAATGTTTATAACCTTTCTGAGATGTAAACAAAACCTGAAAACGTAGAACTTTGTGCAAAAGTAGCGAGACAGAGCTGCTGTACTGGATTGCATGAGATTGCAATGGTTGGATTAACATCTAGATGTATTTTATCTGGAAATATATGCAGGTCAAATCAAGAGAAGAAGCTCTGATGTTGAGGAATGAGCTCATGAATCTGCTTTCACTGTGTGAAGATGTGACATGAAAGAAATTGATCTGTCTGGTCAAGATCCGCTGACTTGTTTCTATAAAAGAGGATTCGAAATCGAAATTTCAACTTGATTCATGTCGACTTTAATCTCTAAATTAATTTTTTTTAATCTTGAAATTTCAACATTATTCACAATTCTACATTTTGTAATCTCGAAATTCTGACTTTAATCTCGAAATTTCAACTTTAATCTAAAAATTTCGACTTAAATCTCCTTCTTGTAATTATTTTATTTCTCTTCATGTGGCCCTACTCTTCTTTTGTTGAACCCTCAGCGTTTGACCCAATCCAGGTTTGTACTCTAAAATTAAAGGGGTTTCAAAATGCAAAAATATTAACTCTGCGTCATGTTGCATAAAATGTGGGATTCAAAAGTTTCTTCTGTTTGCCTCAAATAACCTGTTTTCTTTTCCCCTGGTTTAAGAGAGGATACTTTACATTCAAGGACAGCCGACCCACAGTTTGGAGATATTTCCTGACCATCGGCTTGTTTCACCCTGAAAACTGCATTAGTATGGCGTCCAGAAACATGTGCTTTTACTGTGTTCAGGTTTGGATTCCCATTACTCTCTCCTGCAGCTGAGAGTGTTTTACACAGTTATAATTCTTACACTACACTCCCCGTGTGCCGGGCAAACAAAGTCAAGGTCAGCGCCTCAATCCCAAAATTCATCACTGTACTTATTCAACAGTCACTTAATCTATTCTGCATGAGCTGGTTGATTGAACTCCATTTGCCCGAGGTGTTTTGGGAAATCACTGAGGTTAAACAATCAGTAAGTTTAATTCAGTCAAGTTTGGGTGCAACAAGACAGCGGAGGCTTTCATTATGCACAGAGCGACCTGAATCCACAGAGGAACACCCACATACAGTCAGAATTAAACAAGAGCTCATACATAAACACCCACTGAGCGTCCAAAGACCACCGGCAGGAGCGGCATCATGCACCATCAGGCATCTGATTCCTGATAAGAAGTCAGGAAGACCCGAACCGAAGCTGAGAGAGCTCTCTGTGTGCAGAAATCAAAGCCAGGTAATCTGCCTCACAAAGCAACAGCTGAGATGAAAAGAGTGTATGCTGATATGTTTTGATCTTTTAAAGTGAAGGAGATTGCACCACCCACTGAGAGCGGGGATTTAGGATATCAGTCCACTGCAAAGAGGATATCACATCCCGCAGACTGCATAATGTTTTCTCTGATTTCTCTGGTGCAGCTCATACAGCGTTGTTTTGTCTGCACTGACTTCATCAGGAGGGACAGTCTCTGCAGGGTCTGGTTCTTTGGTGACAGTTAGGTACACGTATATGAACCATTTGTAGAGACCACATCTGAGTCATCTGAGGTCCTCCTGACAGAAAGTCTACCCTGTTTGATTGCTTGATCTACCAACTCATTCCAGCAATAAAAGTACAACTTAAGCAAAGATCTGTCACACATGGGAACGATATGAACAGGTGCCACAAAGTGCCACTACCTACATATCATGCTTTGGCAACAACAGCCCTGTTGTTGGACAATCATGGAGGACCAAAATCAGAGAAATGTTGGCGATAAATAGCAGACACACCTCAGCGAATCACTGAGTAACTGCTGTTAACGTCACTTGATGTTGTCTAGCCTCGTCCTCCTTCCTTCAAATGTCACCATGATGGTCATTGTTATAGCTTGGGTACCGCCATGTAGACAGTCACATCCGTTGTACCTTAAATTTTTGACTCTGTAATTGGCTAACCCCACCCCATCTGGGATGGATACAAAAAGTCATTGTGTCAATTTCCACCGGCTTCTTTCTGTTCTGCTGAAAGAAGCCAGTAAGAGCAGATTACCTGGCTTTGATTTGGTTTTCTTTTCAAAATAAAAGACTTTGTGTTTCAGGTGGATTGTATTTTACACCATGCAAACAGGCGGAGACGAACAAGTGAAAGATTTCACCCCAATAACACCATGGATGAGGAGATGCTGATTCTAGAAGTGTAGAAGTAGATTTCCTCCTCTGGAAGGACACAATCTACTGCTTATATGGTTAGCCTCTGTGGCTAAGAGATAACTCCTTATTGCGTGACTGCACGTAAATCTGTGGGTTCTCGCAATTGCCACTGTCTGTAAACCGCTACGAAATTCGTCTCACAAACGAACCCGGTAGGAATTGGCCCATAACGAAAATTGCCACCGCCCAGATGTTGTGGAGATTCAGTAAAACTCACTGAAAGGGTTGCAGCTGTGCAAAGGTAAGACTGGACTAACATAGTGACACCGTGACCTTTCACCAGTTTTGTAGGAAGAAATGGTCAAGACAATCTCAGCCTCTGTACGTCTGAAGGATCCTGGACAACCTGATCCAAGCGGAGACCAGAAACAAGCTAGAACTGACACTGCATATCTAATTCGGTCTAAGTATGGCGATAGATGATGAGAAAAGGGAAATCTGGACTCACTCACTGCTGTGTCCAATAAGTGGCTTCTTCATCAGGACCGTAAAGGGTCAGTGCCTTGCTCCTGGGCACTCTGAAGTGTTTAGTTTAAGTAGAAGATAGTGATAGCCGTGTATTTCCCTGAACTCAAATTACTCTTGCTCCTCTGGGGATTTACACCCCTGACCCAGTGGTCTTATCCCATTTACTCATCCTAAAACTTTCCTTTATACCAACCAACCAAACCTCTCCGTCTTTAAGTTTGTCCTCAACATTAGGCTGAAGTCATTGTCTGTATGCATCTCTGGCAGGAAGCCCGGGAGCGAAGACACGTATACAAACCCCTGTGGCAATGTGAATAATGAGAGCGTGTACTTGGGAGGAGAGGAACAAATAAGGGAGCAGCTTAGATGGAAAACAGGATAAAGTAAAGATGACCTTCTGCTGGTTTAAGGGGTTCCTCAGTACATCTGGTGTTTCCTCTCATCATGCATCGAGGACATCATGTTTGTAGGTTTATTCCTCAGCTCTTTAACCGGCAGAGAAACAACAATGGCGAGTGTTTGTTTGTTTGTGTGTAGGTTTGTGTTAATTTCCTTTTCTTGCCATCTGTACTGGAGTAACCCTGCAGGCATGTGCTCCTTTATCCTATTTCTCTTGTTTGGTAGTTATTTTAGTGTTTTCAGATATATTCTGAGGTTTTGCATGAATTGCATGTCAGATATTGGTGACTCTGACTTTGAAGGTGGAGTAGGCAGGAATCCGTTAAAGAAGCATCTTTTTTATGGTGTATATACAAAAAAAAAGCTTTAAATATCAGTCAAGAGCTATTAGTTATTGATGACGTTTGGGAAAATTTTACAATTTTTATGGGGCCAGATCTTACTGACTGTAAACAAAGCCATTCTTCACCTCCCCGACCTGATTGGTTGTGAGGCAGACGCTGCTCCGGACATATCGGACAGTAGAAACCAACCAGAAAGTTCGGAAAATTGTCTGAATCCTCCTTTGGCCACGACTGCCGACACAAGCAAGAAAACAAAGTAAATACCGGAGACTCTGGAGGAATAACGGGCGCTTAAAACGGAGGTAGACCGGACAAGAGCTAAAAAGCCGGGTCAACATAAACGATGGGGGACGCTTGGGGATCTTGGTGACCCTGTAACCCTTCTGCTGGACAGGTAAACCGCTTTAACAAAGTAAGACAAGTGTCTGTAACAGAAGTGTTTCTTGTCAAACGGACCTGCTGTAGCGTGTTGTAGCGCCATCGCTAAACTGTCCTCCCTCGGGTCCTGGACTATGTCACTTTATCCTCGTTGTAGAAGTCCTGCAAACATTGTGTTTGCTGGTAGTCTGTTGGCATCTACAGTAGCACCAATGCTTTTGACTTTCACCTTGACTGGGCCCCATTTGTAATGATCTGAAGGATTTATCTGCATTATATCTGAATTTAATTGGAACGATACGAGCGAGCAGGAGCGTCTGTTTGTGGGCGGGGATCAAGATTTCTCCTAAAAACTAAAAACTTCCTCAGATTCTGACTACCCTACCTCTAAGTTTGGTTTATATTTACGAGTCTGAATCTTGTTTTATTTTAATTTTGTTCTTTAATCCAGTTAAAAACACAAAATGAATCAAGGAGAAGTAGTCGGCATTGTTCATCTCTCTCAAATGTTTCCTACAACAAAGAGATCCATCCAGCATGGCTGCCAGCCGGCTTGACTGACAGGCCCACACGGCCTCATTACCATTGAACACACACAGATAGGAACAGTTACAAAACAACATGAAAAGGCTGCATCAGGAGTAATTAATATGACTGCACAAACACACAAAGACAAACTCTGTTAAACAGGCCTTTTATGTTCACTCTTAATTGGTCAGCATAATCGGTAATGCGAGCCACCGTTGGCCACATGCGAAGGCAGAGCCTCTCTTTGTTACCGTGCCAGCATGGATGCAGGGATCGCTGTCCCCGTAATCAGCAGGCCATGCTTTGAGGTTTCACATAATAGAGGACCAACTCTCAATGAGCTGCAATCAGCGGTTATGTGTGTTTATTTTTGAGAAGGCAGGACAAAATATAATACCGCTTCCCGCTGGGTGTCTCTGCCCACGGGCTGATTGGGACGATTCTCCCCCTTAAGGAGCCGAGCTCTGTATCAGACATCCTCTTTTCTTGGATGGAAAGGTCGGACAGACGTAGACGCTTCCACATTCATCACGTCAGGCAGCAGAACTCATCCAAGAACACCAGATATGCTGGGAATAATCCTGCAGTTTCTCCAGAGGACCGCAGCCGCCACATGCTTTGTGCTGAGTAAACAGCAGCGGTTTGTTGGTGGCCACAGGCGCAAGGCGATCCGCTCCCGGCCCGCCATTTTGTTTGCCTGTTTGTTTTCTGGTTTCAGCGCGAGCGTAAGGGAACATGCAAACAGCAGGGCTCAGCAGCTAAGCTTGCACTGATAGGTCATGGATGAGGGGATTGGGAATGAAGGGTATCCGGTTCCTCCATTTAGCCCACCCGGATAAACACTCCCGACAAGCCCGGGTTGGAGCACCAGTTCAAGTTATGACAAGCCTTGTTGGCATTTTTGTTTCTAATTCTGTGTGTTTTGACTTATCCTCTACATCATTTGAGCCGGCCAATCTCATCATCTTCATCATCCCCAAACCTCAGTCCCCTTAAAACTAACATGTGATTGTTGTTAGAGGCACAGAGGAGCTCAGAGCGCCGCTGATTCTGCCCAGATGTCCTGTTTACATGGGAGGACAGGGAGTTCTGCCTCCCTGCAGTGTACTTAAGGGAAAGCCACCCCAAAGAAACCAATTTGTTAGTATCCCGGTCACTAAAGAGAAGCCAAATAAACAAGATAAAGTTTGTTCAGAGTGATTAAAGCGAGATAAGAAGAAGGGGAGAACAGAAGCATTAACAGTGAGATAATGATTTAAACAATATGTGCGAAAAGCAGGAGGAGATGAAATTATCCTTGACAGTCACTCAACAAGCTGAGCGAGATGCTTCTGTCTCGTCTCACCTTCCCACAGCTGAGTCCATTTTCATACCGGTCTTCCTCATCCTCACTTCTAACACCCGCACTCACCACAGTCCTGTTTTTGCACGTACTGTATCCCCGGCTCGTGTTTCCCCGGCTCATTTTTCTCACCTACTCTCTCCATCGTTTCTTTCCACATACAAATTTGATGAGGCAAGAATACGAAGGTTTGATTTCTTCCAACAGAAATATTCACAGTCTGAACTGGACTGATGCAGCCGAGGTCTAAATGCGCACAGTGATCCGCCTGCTCCTCAGCTGGCATTTGCCTCTTGAATGGTGTTTTTAAAGCCCTGGATGAAGGAATTTTAGCTGCTAAAAGGATGTCCTCTCTGTCTTTTAGGAAGCTTTTGAATTTAGCTGCAAAAAAACATCACTAACTCAGCATTTATGATGGTCCTAACCTCATTATGTATGCAGTTATCTGAGTAGGAATGGCTACTGTGATAAGTAGCAGCACTGATTGGCTGAAAAGAAAGGGTGCAGACAGATGCAGAGGCATGTTGCTGTAAAAATAGATGCTTTTCTTTTGGCTCTGAGGTGCTTGAATAAAATAAAGACATTAGTGTAATTTTTGCAAACAACTACAAAGTCTAATATATCTGACTAAGCGCTCCTGTCTGTTCAGGGATCAGGGATTGGCTGCAGGGACTGATCAGTCAAATAGAAGAGAATCAGTTTGATTGGTCAGAATTTCAGCCTCCTACTGTTTAAAAAAGACCTGATTTCTGTACAGCTGACCGCGTCCCTGCTGGCAGCGGCAATTGTTTTTCCGTCGCATATTTTTCTGGAGGGGGAAACAAGAAAAAGGGATTTAAAAAAAAATTTGCACACCTGACCCCATCGGCGCACAGGCCTTCAAACAAACGGGTGGCATCGGAATGACTTAGCCCAATTTTCACCACATCCGGAGTGGCTACGAAAAGGCCGTATCCACCGATCGTAACCATTCAAGTTCATGTGTCAATTTCCACCGGCTTCTTTCCGTTGTGCTGTGGATCGCCGGACTCCGGAGCTGATCGCAAGAGTTCTATTAGCATGCAGGATAAATTCAGCACAGATTAACCCGTGCTGGAAAAGAAGTCAGGCACAGACACAAAATGAAACATCCCGTGTTTCAGGAGGATCGTATTTCACACCATGCAAACGGGCGGAGACGAACAAGTGAAAGGTTTTAAGACAACATTTCACCCCGATGACACCATGGATGAGGAGATGCTGATTCTAGAAGTCTAGAAGTAGATTTCCTCCTCTGGAGGGACACAATCTACTGCTTAAATGGTTAGCCTATGTGGCTAAGAGACGACTTGTTATCGTGAATCCGCAGGTTCTAGTAAGTTCTCGCAATTCCTGCTGTCCATAATCCGCAACGAAATCTGCCTCACCAACGGATCTGGTAGCGCCAAAAATCGCTGCCGTTCCGGATCAGAGCCGTTCTGGATGCAGTCAAAATTGGGGGTAAGCAGACTTCTTTTAGGGGGCTACAGTAAATGTCAAAACTCAAAAACAGCAGTGATTTTAGATGCGAGTCCTGTCTTTTTAAAGATCTTGTTTGTGTCAGTTTTCCTCTGACCCCACAGTATCCTGAGGCCTTCTGCTTCCCTCCCCTGCAGCTCTGACTAAAAGGCTCTCTCCAGGACTGAGAGCCTGGACAGCTGGAGATACAGTGTACTGAGCATTAACTTCCTCAGAATACTAATGTCTATCGATCTGCTCAAGACCGAACATTTCAATGGCAGAGGCAGCATGCTGCAAGCCTCCAAACTTATTACAATCAATGCACAATAACCATAAAAGCTGGGGAGCTGAGGTTGGGGGCGGGATTAACAATCATTTACATTTAAATCAAAGGTTACCACTCAGCAGTGCCAGCGCTCACACAGCCGTCCAACCGACCTCATTTGGCTGTTTAAAGTCTGAGAGGAAACATATTGTGCTCATCAGAGAGAGACAAAGGCAAGAAAACTTGTTTCTCACCACCTCTGAGAGGAGAGCGGGAGTTAATTAAAATGTGAGACACCTCACTGAATATCTTTAGCACTGTTTCCAAGCAGGCTTTCCAGCACCCAGGAGTAAAAAGGAAGAGATGGGGAGAGATTCTGAGCTGCTGAGACAGAGAGAGATGAGTTGGAGGGCGGCAAACGCCGCACGCAGCAGATCTGACAGGTTGGAGCTGCAAATTGCTTTTAGCAGTCAATTTCTCACCTTAATTAAAAGAGGGGAGCGCGCTGGCTACAGGCGACGCGACTTCAGCGTCTGCCTTCCATGATAAAAGCGGGACAATGGTGGCATGTTTTCTGTCCGCAGCCTCCTGTTGACAAACCGCTGAGTGGTGTAGAGTCGGGTCAAACACTGACGCTTAACCTGCCGTGTGAAACCTCAGCGGGCGGAATGACAATCAATTGAGCTTTCGCCAGCTTAATCTGTGAAAGCAGACTTTTTTTTCTTTTTTGGGGGTTTGTTTACTGAAACCTGCTGTAGCATTATGTCTGCAGCCGCCATTGGTGTCCCGGTTAATTAAACTAACAAATCATCCATCTGCCGAGTCCTTTTGTCCATATTGATCAGCGCTGGGAAATGTTTGAGAGTGATTGCTTTCAATGAATACAGGATGGCTTCCCTCTGCGAGATAATGTTTCATCTCATCGTTTTCTAAAGTAATAGATGATATGAATTTAACATGTCATTTTGCAGCTTTTATGCAGAGTATGGTGTTGCGTGTTCTGTACAGACATAATGAGAAGGAAGTGCTGCATATTTCAGGCTGTCGGTGCCTTTGTGCTCCGTTATATTACAGCATTAAAAAGTTAAAACAGCAGCGCTCTCTCAACTGAACATAAGGATGAGAGTGTGTCTTTGTGGCAGCAGTCCTAATGAAGTCAGTCTGTTGAGGTTAGGCATTAAATTCTCTTTAAACTCACAGTTGCACATTGCTGGCATATTATTAAACAGCACATATAACAGGAGTTCATGCTTCTTCGCTTCCCCTAACTTAGGGATGGTGGCCTTTGAGGACAAAAAGCTCTTGTGATGCATTATAATACAGATGCATATTGAATGCATTGTGTTTAAAAAAGGAATATTTGGTGAACTCTTGCACTTAGATTGAAGTGCTCCCTTGCTCACCCCTGCAACCACTCGTCTTTAAAGACAAGAAGCTCTTGTATTGCAAATGTACGATTCTCTATGATCAAGTTTGTACCATCTGTTTAATACTTAGCATGCACACCTTTATGCACTTTTAACTGAAACATCTACCTGAATTTAAATGATGCAACATTCATATAAACTGTCAGCTCAAGGGATTCTGGGAGGAATTTATTATGCTTCCTTTTATGCATCCAAAATCACCGTGATTAATTATCTCATCTCCTCATATTTTATGCACACAGGAAATAAAAATCAGATTAATAAACCATTCAAACAGTGTGAAATTCTCAAATCAGGGAAAAATTCCCCATTATGCATGGATGAATAAATGAAGCTCCAGCAAAAGACTCAGCGTGTGAGCGAGCGGCAACACAACAAAGACTTCTGTCATTTAATGCTTGAGCATGTTGGATAGGATAAAACAAGGAGCAGAATTTGCTCTCTCATAATAACTGATGAAAATGATGCAAATGTATTATTGGATTCACTCGGGGAAGCGAGCTTCATTAATTAAGGCTTCAACAGGGAAATAAGTCTTCCCTAAATAACTAAATTCATCAGAGGTGCAGCCAGCGAGTGAACAAAACTGTTCTGCCTCCTGATGAAAGCAGTCGACAACGTCCCTGCACAGAAAAAAAACAGCGTTGGAAATATTACAGCTAGTACTGTATCAGCCAAAGATTAACTGAAGAAGCCATGGTCATGACTCTCTGAAAAGAGACGATATTTAAAATATCAAACCGCCTTTTCTATCCTCGACCTTCGCTTTGATTTGAACAGATGCTGCAGGATTACTTCAAACAGAAAAATAAACAGTTTCTCTCAGAAATCAGTCCAAAAAGGCTGCAAGAGGAGAACTCTGAATGGTTCTTTAAATAAGACTATTCAAGGTACCTAAAAAGGTACTCAACAAATGACAAATCTAAGACTGACGCTAACAGGTGCCGAAGAATTCATGCCTAAAGGAGGCGCTATAGGGTTTCCGGGAACAGTCCCTCAAAGTAATGATAATACATCAGATTTCATATAGCGCTTTATCAGAGACCCTCAAAGTGCTTCATATTGGATCCATCATTCATTCACTCATACATTCATACCTTGGTGGTGGTAAACTACCTTAGAAGTCACAGCTGCCCCGGAACAGACGGATGGAAACATGGCTGCCAGTTTGCGCCTACGGCCTCTCCCACCACCACCACACAACACTCACTATCATACACCAGTGGAGGACACACACTGGGAGCAAGCTGGGTTAAGTGTCTTGCCCAAGGACATAATGGACAGACTCACGATACGGGGGATCGAACCACCAACCTTCCAGTTATTGGACGACCGCTCTACCTCCTGAGCTACTGCTGCCCAAAGTAACACTGAAACAGACACTGAGGGGGAACCGATAAACAGAAGAAACACTTAAACTAAACTGTGTTGAGAACCTAAAATGATGCTCTTGAATACCTCAGACCAGCTGCTAAAAGACAGGAATTTAGCAACAGAATGTAACAAGTATGCTAACTAAACAATTTCTTTGCAAATCAGGAGACATTCTCAGTTGAAAACACAATCGTTCAACGTAAACATCGAGTTAACAATACTGACTTCTTCCCGAATGCACAACAATCAACTTAAATATCAACGTAGTATCTGATTGCAGCATTTTGCGGGAATCTCCGCTATCTCTATAAGCTTTAGGACCCCAAAACTGCTGTATCAATGCCTGGACAAAACTGGGTTAAATCCCAAGGACTCTAGGCTGCCCAAACAGGTGCCTGAACAAAAACTACTTAAAGTGTTTTCAACACATGGACAGAAAAAACATTTGTCGCTTCAGATGCTCCAAGTTACCCTGAAATAGAGGCTGCTGGGTACCTGAAAACAGACCCTCACATTTACCTCAGAAACGATACTAGAGTGTTTAGAAAGTCTTTAAGAAACATCTTCGAAATGCTGAAGCACTTTCACAAAGAAACCTTAAAAGGAGTTCCTTGCAAAGCACGTCTAAGTATCAGGAGAACTTCTACAAGCATCTATGATAAAATACTGTTTTTGTTTTTGACTGAAGTTGCAGCTTCTTCTCAGTTTGTAATATATGTCAAACTGACTCTTCCCTCTGAGCCACCCTTTATGTCGAACTTCCTCTCCTTGTAAAATCCTTGACCATGCTGCCCGAGTATAATATCCTCTGTGAGGAAACGTCAGGATTACAGTTATTGGTGGAATCAAAACCACAATCTCATAAGTCCCTGTCTGATCAGGAGGTAGTTTCACTGCGCCTGCAATCAGTGCTTTTCGTCAAACCCAACCGGACCCTGACACTCTGCATGACGGGAGGAGAAGAAGAAAAATGTTTCCTGTCGTCAATTGAGCAATGACATGGATGAATGTCAAAGAAAAACACTCAATTATCTTAAGCGGGTTTATACAAGTGATTGGCCTGTTGATGGGGAGAGGAGGGGGTGCTGAGAGGGGACGCGGGGGAGCCGGACTTGTTTCAGCTGGAGGAGGTCTGTTTGACTTGATGGGATTCATTTTGATTGGTCAAGTTGACGTTTCCTCTTTGTGGTGACTGCTAAGAAGGGAGTAACAAATTACTCCTTGTTGGCTGAGGCCAGTGTGGAAATCTGATGAGGGAAAATTACACATCACATCTGCCCTCGTTTTGGAGTCAAACGTGCCTAAAACCGTAATTCTGCAGCGAAAAGATTACCTCAAACTTTCGGAGAGTCTGCGTGTGCGATCCGACAAAGCAAACAATGTGTGCCGTTTGGAAAGAGCGTTCTTCTGTATTTACTGTAGCCAGCTGCCACTCAGTTGTCACTGTTCAGAAGAGGCCCGTTTTGGGAAGAGATGAAACATTCCTCCGGAGCTCCGGGCTAATCAGGCTGTTTGTTCTTCCCCCAATTTTCACAATCCTGGAAAATTAGATGATTAAACTCTTTAAAAACTCCGACCTTGGGCTAATTATTTATGGGTGGGGAGAGAGGTGAGTTTGGGGTTCATGGTTCAGGGACTGACAGGCTGACATGCATCCTACATAAGGCTGGACTTGAAGGTTGCAGGTCAGCAGAGAGAGGAGATTGGAGGCCGGTGGAGCTTCAGGGAGCTGGCTCTGCAGAAAGCCGACTGACAGTTCAGTTTTATCGTGAGGTCTCTGTCTCGGCGGCCCGCCCTTGATCAAGGAAAAAGATGCCCACACAGACGCACTCATCCAGGCCTCTCAAGATCTGACGCTTGATTTTGTTCACCTCTTCAAACATGTGAAGACCTAATATATTCCTCTGACAGCTACAAGCTCTACATACTGTAAATGTGTCTGTGCATGCTCCCCCTCTCTCCCTATTCTCCCCCTCTGACACACACACACACACACACAAACAGGCAACATCTTGTCTTTGACCTCCTGGAGGCAATTCATGTTTCAAACACAGCTCGACATCGGGCGTACACGACTGTTTGAAACAGGTTTCCATGTAAGTGGAGCATGTTTGGGAATCACAGAGATTTTACAACCAGGTAATAACTACAGCAATTTAATTTGAAGTATATTTTGCACCTTCGGCGTGAAAACATATTAAGGTCGTTCACCGCAGTAGTGCTGTGATGGAGGCAGCAAAAGAAAGGTAAAGATGTAGGGTGTAGTTCTGTTAGATCAGGTCTGGTAAAAATGGGATATAATAGTCACAGATATGTTTAAATTAGTGTAAAATCACCCAAATAAGTCTAAGATTTAGACTACGTTACACAAGCCTGGCGATTTTCATAAGCGGACATTTTACCCTCTCCGTTTACAAAAAAAAAAAATAAAACTGCGTGCGCACCACTACATTTTCAGAGAAGTTTTCGCTTACACTAACCCGTGTATGTATCCCGTCAAGCGCATGCCAAACCTGGCGGCCAGTGTAGCCAGTGGGTGGCAGTGTAGCAAGAAGCTCAAACCCACGTTAGCCAATCAGAATCCCGCATAGCAGCAACAACAACAACTAGGGCCCTGGTGGGGCACTGGCGGGCCCGAGCCGTGTCGCGCCGCCCCCAGCGCGACCGCCTCCCCCACCCAATCGCGTCACACTCAAGGTCCAGAGATGGTGTGCGCACTTGTCTGTGGTCATTTACCATTATAATGAATGGGAGGCGCAGTTTCTACCAAAACGCTCGCTGCAGAAAAACTCCATGTCCTATTTGAAAAAAGTCTGGACCATGAGTGAGGGCACAAACACAGCTAAGATATATCCAAATGGCAAGTTGCTCCTCCTTTCGCTTTTGCCGAGAGAGCGATGCGTTTGAGCCATTGAACGATGAACAGGAAAAACTTGACTTTATTCTCCTGCCATGGGGGGGCGCTCTTTTGGCGAGTAAAAATTCCTTCACAAATGTGTTGATGGCTGGACATTGCATCATCCTAGAAAACTTGGAGGCCAGTGAGGAGAAAAATAAAAAGTTATAAGACTTTTAAGAATGTGGATTTTTGGGTTATCTTTGGCGCCCCCTAGAACCTAAACCGTGGGGTGCAGCGTCATGATTTGTACAACTTTTAATAGCCATGGGGTGTAGATTGGCCTGAGCAAATTTGGTGCCGGTGGAACGAAAGCCTTCGGAGGAGTTAGCGAAATTCCAATGTGTGCGAATCGGCAAAAAATGCAAAATAGCCCTTTAACCGTACATTATACAGATACGCGCTCTTTGACTTTTTCGTAGATCTTATTGAGATACACGTGATTGTCAAATTTTGTGTCAATATGACAAAGCGTTTAGGCGTGACACTCAACAATGTGTATTTTCACGTTAGGGGACAAGAAAAACTTGACTTTTTTCTCCTGCCATGGGGGGGCGCTCTTTTGGGGAGTAAAAACTCCTTCACAAATGTGTTGATGGCTGGACATTGCATCATCCTAGAAAACTTGGAGGCCAGTGAGGACAAAAATAAAAAGTTATAAGACTTTTAAGAATGTGGATTTTTGGGTTATCTTTGGCGCCCCCTAGAACGTAAACCGTGGGGTGCAGCATCATGATTTGTACAACTTTTAATGGCCATGGGGTGTAGATTGGCCTGAGCAAATTTGGTGCCGGTGGAACGAAAGCCTTCGGAGGAGTTAGCGAAATTCCAATGTGTGCGGATCGGCAAAAAATGCGAAATAGCCCTTTAACCGTACATTTGACAGATACGCCCGCACTGACTTTTTTGTAGATCTTATTGAGATACACATGTGTGTCAAATTTTGTGTCATTTTGACAAAGCGTACAGGCGTCAGGTGAGTTTTCACCATAGGGGGCGCTATGGAGCCATTTTTCATTTTTTTGTTTGGGCGACTTCAGAATATCAAATTTTTCACCAGGCCCGGTCGTCCTGCCAAATTTCCTGAGTTTTCGCCAGTGGGAAGTGGGCCATTTTCCAGTTTAAAGCGGAGGAAAAATAACGAACTAGGGCCCCGGTGGGGCACTGGCGGGCCCGAGCCGTGTCGCGCCGCCCCCAGCGCGACCGCCTCCCCCACCCAATCGCGTCACACTCAAGGTCCAAAGATGGTGTGCGCACTTGTCTGTGGTCATTTACCATTATAATGAATGGGAGGCGCAGTTTCTACCAAAACGCTCGCAGCAGAAAAACTCCATGTCCTATTTGAAAAAAGTCTGGACCATGAGTGAGGGCACAAACACAGCTAAGATATATCCAAATGGCAAGTTGCTCCTCCTTTCGCTTTTGCCGAGAGAGCGATGCGTTTGAGCCATTGAACGATGAACAGGAAAAACTTGACTTTATTCTCCTGCCATGGGGGGGCGCTCTTTTGGCGAGTAAAAATTCCTTCACAAATGTGTTGATGGCTGGACATTGCATCATCCTAGAAAACTTGGAGGCCAGTGAGGACAAAAATAAAATGTTATAACACTTTTAAGAATATGGATATTTGGGTCATCTTTGGCGCCCCCTAGAACTTAAACCGTGGGGTGCAGCGTCATGATTTTTACAACTTTGAATGGCCATGGGGTGTAGATTGGCCTGAGCAAATTTGGTGCCGGTGGAGCGAAAGCCTTCGGAGAAGTTAGCTACATTCCAATGTGTGCGAATCGGCAAAAAATGCGAAATAGCCCTTTAACCGTACATTTGACAGATATGCCTGCATTTACTTTTTCGTAGATCTTATTGAGATACACGTGTGTGTTGAATTTTGTGTCATTTTGACAAAGCGTACAGGCATGACACTCAACAATGTGTATTTTCACCTTAGGGGACAAGAAAAAATGGACTTTTTTCTCCTGCCATGGGGGGGCGCTCTTTTGGGGAGTAAACATTCCTTCACAAATGTGTTGATGGCTGGACATTGCATCATCCTAGAAAACTTGGAGGCCAGTGAGGACAAAAATAAAAAGTTATAAGACTTTTAAAAATGTGGATATTTGGGTCCTCTTTGGCGCCCCCTAGAACATAGACCGTGGGGTGCAGCGTCATGATTTGTACAACTTTGAATGGCCATGGAGTGTAGATTGGCCTGAGCAAATTTGGTGTCAGTGGGACGAAAGCCTTAGGAGGAGTTAGCCACATTCCAATGTGTGCGAAACGGCAAAAAATGCGAAATAGCCCTTTAACCGTACATTTTACTGATACGCCCGCACTGACTTTTTTGTAGATCTTATTGAGATACACATGTGTGTCAAATTTTGTGTCAATATGACGAAGCGTACAGGCGTGACATTCAACAATGTGTATTTTCGCCTTAGGGGACTAGAAAAAATGGACTTTTTTCTCCTGCCATGGGGGGGCGCTCTTTTGGCGAGTAAAAATTCCTTCACAAATGTGTTGATGGCTGGACATTGCATCATCCTAGAAAACTTGGAGGCCAGTGAGGACAAAAATAAAAAGTTATAAGACTTTTAAGAATGTGGATTTTTGGGTTATTTTTGGCGCCCCCTAGAACGTAAACCGTGGGGTGCAGCATCATGATTTGTACAACTTTTAATGGCCATGGGGTGTAGATTGGCCTGAGCAAATTTGGTGCCGGTGGAACGAAAGCCTTCGGAGGAGTTAGCGAAATTCCAATGTGTGCGGATCGGCAAAAAATGCGAAATAGCCCTTTAACCGTACATTTGACAGATACGCCCGCACTGACTTTTTTGTAGATCTTATTGAGATACACATGTGTGTCAAATTTTGTGTCATTTTGACAAAGCGTACAGGCGTCAGGTGAGTTTTCACCATAGGGGGCGCTATGGAGCCATTTTTCATTTTTTTGTTTGGGCGACTTCAGAATGTCGAATTTTTCACCAGGCCCGGTCGTCCTGCCAAATTTCCTGAGTTTTCGCCAGTGGGAAGTGGGCCATTTTCCAATTTAAAGCGGAGGAAAAATAACTAGGGCCCCGGTGGGGCACTGTCGGGCCCGAGCCGCATCGCACCACCCCCAGCGCGACCGCCTCCACCTCCCGATCGCGTCACACTCAAGGTCCAAAGATGGTGTGCGCACTTGTCTGTGGTCATTTCCCATTATAATGAATGGGAAGCGCAGTTTCTACCAAAACACTCGCTGCAGACAAACTACATGTCCTATTTGAAAAAAGTCTGGACCATGAGTGAGGGCACAAACATAGCTAGGATATATCCAAACGGCAAGTTGCTCCTCGTTACGGTGTTGCCGGGAGAGCGATGCGATTGAGCCATTGAGTGATGGGCAGGAAAAACTTGACTGTTTCTCCTGCCATGGGGGGTGGGGGATGGGGGGGGATGTGGATTCTTTTAAGAAAGTGGATATTTGGGTCATCTTTGGCGCCCCCTAGAACGTAAACCGTGGGGTGCAGCGTCATGATTTTTACAACTTTGAATGGCCATGGGGTGTAGATTGGCCTGAGAAAATTTGGTGTCAGTGGGACGAAAGCCTTAGGAGGAGTTTGCGACATTCCAATGTGTGCGAATCGGCAAAAAATGCAAAATAGCCCTTTAACCGTACATTTGACAGATACGCGCGCATTGACTTTTTCGTAGATCTTATTGAGATACACGTGATTGTCAAATTTTGTGTCAATATGACAAAGCGTACAGGCGTGACACTCAACAATGTAAATTTTCACCTTAGGGGACAAGAAAAAATGGACTTTTTTCTCCTGCCATGGGGGGGCGCTCTTTTGGGGAGTAAAAATTCCTTCACAAATGTGTTGATGGCTGGACATTGCATTATCCTAGAGAACTTGGAGGCCAGTGAGGACAAAAATAAAAAGTTATAAGACTTTTAAATATGTGGATTTTATGGTTATCTTTGGCGCCCCCTAGAACCTAAACCGTGGGGTGCAGCGTCATGATTTGTACAACTTTTAATGGCCATGGGGTGTAGATTGGCCTGAGCAAATGTGGTGCCGGTGGAACGAAAGCCTTCGGAGGAGTTAGCGAAATTCCAATGTGTGCGGATCGGCAAAAAATGCGCAATAATCCTTTAACCGTACATTTGACAGATACGCCCGCACTGACTTTTTTGTAGATCTTATTGAGATACATGTGTGTGTCAATTTTTGTGTCATTTTGACAAAGCGTACAGGCGTGACAGTCAATAGTGTGAATTTCCACCTTAGGGGGCGCTATGGAGCCATTTTGCATTTTATTGTTTGGGCGACTTCAGAATATCGAATTTTTCACCAGGCCCGGTCGTCCTGCCAAATTTCATGAGTTTTCGCCAGTGGGAAGTGGGCCATTTTCCAGTTTAAAGCGGAGGAAAAATAATAACTAGGACCCCGTTGGGGCACTGGCGGGCCCGAGCCGTGTCGCGTCCCCCCCCCCCCCCCAACGTGCTGCCTCCCCGTCCCATTTGTGTCCTCTGGCCATCGCCCTCTCTGGTAACGCCCATCACTGCAAAGACCCTTTTCCTTCATCGGCGTTTGCTGTTCTTCCTGCCAGTGCGTGTTGCTTTCACTTACACTTGCCACAGCCAGCCTCTTGAGTGCCTAGCCTATTGGATATCACTGTCACCTACTCAGGACAGTCATTACCTTTCTATTAATACTTTGTTTTTTAATTTCACATTAATTTCCATATTGTATAAACAACTGGAAAAAACTTGAGCCCCTGCCCCTGTATAATCATGTGCACGTCTCTGTTCTAGCTCTAAGGTGAATCTTCACTGCTCATGTTCTCCTCAGAAGCAGTCACCTCACTCCCCTCAGGTTACTGTACACATGCACCAACTGCCTGCTTCAGGTTTGGATGGAGCTTCATGGTTGTCTTTTGGAGAAATGACCAGTCAAGTTGTGTTTTAAATTTGATTTTTTTCAGGGGCAAAAGGAGCCTCTGCATTCTTGTCAAATATGTAAATAGCATGTTTTTGCAGGTGCTAAAAACCAGACTCTGAGTGTGTGTGTG